ATATATATATATATATATATATATATATACGGTCTAATTTAATTTAATTATTTACTTTCACCAATTTATTTTAATTGTTTTAATTGTCTTATTCGTTTCACATGAATACATTTCACATGAATGCATTTCACACATAAAAAATGAGATTCTGCTATTTAGTTCTAATGCATGTGATAAAACTATGGATCAATGCCAACAAGTACGAGTTTAAAAGGAAACGTCTATTCACAAAACATGTTTTTCTTTCTGCAATCAAATCATAGGTCAGATTAAAATCTAATACCTATATACACGATAATAATTGCATTCGCGGTAAAAGGATGTCGAAGAAAATGGGATAGCAAAGATATCAAATGATGGCTTTATCGCAAATACTTGGAAAATTCTTTGTAAACCACTTGGCAAACATTAAAGCTATTGTATCTAAAAATTACAGTCGTTGCACTTGTGCTATTAACATTGTTAACAATGCGATTATTTTTATCTTATTTCAAGATTATTATTTACTTGCACAAAAATTATCACATATCTTTCTTTTTTTTTAAATTTCAGTTTTAGCCCGATGTTGCGAAGCTCATATTTATTATGATATATTTAGGATAACTTTCACTTATCGTTCGTAAGCCATGAAATACATAATAAAAGAAACGAAAAGTGCTTGACGCGACAAAGAAATTCAGAATAGAAAAAGTGAGAGGCATTGATTTCACGCGTGTTCTTACGTTCACTTCGCGTAAATATTATTAAATAAAACTATTATTCTCACGTTGTCAATATGGTCATTAATTATATTGCTACCGCGTTAATATTCACACACTTTACTTCGCTCAACACTTCTCTATTTTTTAATCCAATCGTTTATATTTATACCATTTAATATACAAATCGTTTACTTACTGTCTTGTACATAGTGTACGATGATCACGTTGAGAGATACGAATGAGAATCAAAACCAATCTCATTCAAGGCAAGAAACTAAGACGCGATCACTATTTGATTCCGAAGGGATATTTACGAACGTTGATGCTACTGATGTAAACTGATCGTCGGACCAGACGGCGAAGTCTGTTCTCTCTCCCGCAAATGTCTCGGAAGCTTATTTGATAAAACGATAACTATTACTATATATCCCCGTAACGGTAGGTAGCAGAATACTGAGTGAAATACAACGAGTCGATCGTCTAGGTAGATCGCCAGGTGGTAACTAGGTAGGAGCGACAGTGAATCATACGTTATGATTCGCACAAAGGGATAATTAGATAATTATGCGTACTCCCCACAATTCTCCATATAGTGAAATAAATAGATTTGCGTTTCAGTAAAAGGAATCTCCGCAAAAAGATCACGATAAACGAAACGGAATATATTTTCTTTTACGTAATCAAAAATGGAATAAGTTTTACTCGAAGGAAAAGAATGATATGTTACAAGAGACGAAAATTTCCTCACCATAACTAGAGACGAAGAAGATACAACAACAGGAAAGGATAAACTTATGAAAAAAAAAATAAAATGATGAAAGATAAGAAGAATAGGGATTCTTTCCTTTAATCGATACATAGACAAAGCTGCACACGAAACAATTTAGGAAGGGATTGAAGATTCTACAATTGTACGCTACGAAAAAGACAATTTTTCTTTGTATTGTTTCTTTCTATTTGCAGTAATAACATATATACGTCATAGTTGCATGATGTTACCATATGTCACGCTTCGGGTACAATGACGCGGAATCCTTTCTAAACGAAAGGAGAACTGGTGAGTTCCCTCAGTGTCGAGAGAAAGAGATACAAATATAGATAACATTTATCTTGCACATACTCTTGCATAATCGAACATCTAAAATGTTCGCAAATTTAAAATATAAATGTAAAAGCTTGTCAGTATAAATCACAATATAAATTTTATAATTTCTCAATTATTAATAATTATGTACATATATTTAGAGGCAATGCTGTCGCGATATTGTTTTCTCATAGGAAATCGAGTTTGTAAAATAGTTCATGCATTTTAATGTTTTTCTTAAAACTTTTTATTTTGAGAAACAATGTTGCTCAGCGCTTATCTTAATATTGTATATAATGTATTACATTCATTAGACCATGGCGACACATCGTAAGATTCTCACAATTCCATTCTCCACAAAGTTTAAAAACATACATATTGTCGTGACATCATAATGACATACATGTCAGTAATTGTAACACTAAATTTCATCGATTGCAAATATGACAGCGAATATAACGCATGTAATTCTATTGTGAAGTCATTTTGTTGACCTCATCGTTCACTTGTTCATAAATATTATTTAATATTAAGTAATATTTCAAGCGTTCTTTAGACTATTAAATGTAACGTTTTAATAACATTTTATCAAAATTATACATTATCAAATAATATTCCTGAAATATTAATGGATAATTATGTCCACTTCTGATAATATATAATTATTAAAAGTAACATTTCATGTAATTGTAATATTATATAATGACATTTACTTTAATTTATAAAAAAACCTATTACTTCAGTTCAGTTCAAAATTATGTTTAAAGACTGAAAATAATTTTGGCACGTAATTGTAGGACTAGATATGTACATAAAATCACATCGAAATGTTATTTAAGTATTAAGATGCAGTGTAAACCGATAAGATTTTTTTATTATTTATTGTAAATTTAAATTGTAACAATAATAATAGTAATTAAGTAAAAACAATTAGGAATCTGCGCTGTAATAAATGCGTTTAAATTACTGGACTGAAGTTTGGTCCAGTAATTTAAACGCATCTATTATAGCAAGTTCCTAATTGCCCTTATTTAATTACTATTATTATTATTATTTTATTATAATACAAGGGATCTTATTACGATTTTTTTATATTTATTTAAATTGTACTTATATAAAAATATTTAATATTTAATATTTAATATTTAATAAATATTTTAATAATTGAGGGGTATTAAAGGCATAATATTATGTGTAAAAGAAGAATATTATGTGGATGTAAAACATTTACAGAATGTTTCAATAATATTAAATAATATTATATAATATTCTCGAAATATTATAATATTTTTATTGTAATTTTTTAAAATAATACTCATATAACATTTTAGAAATATTTTGTGCTTATAGGATTAAATCATCGAAACAACATTTCTCGAAAATTATGCGAAGTAAACCTTGAAAAGAATCGCCACGTTTTACATATCATTTTTCTTCTACGTCGCACTCATTTCGGAAAGCCAGCCACTTTCTACGATCTTCCGCGTTACTTGGACCCCATGATTTCGATGGTTGGAAAGCTTGACTGATCATCTAGAAGAGATAAA